AACCCTGAATAAATAGGAAAGCCACAGTAATTATTTCGCGATGTTAGCAGATTATTCATTCATGCTATATAATCAGAGCAATCAAAATTGCGGCACTTCTAGTTCATTGTCTTTTACGTTCGAAATTTTCTTAGAGTTTCAGGCAATATCAAAGACACAGTGATCTCAAAGTAGAGAGTGGAGAGCACTCTGCTTTGATGATACATGTCAGTGCTGCTCTAATCATCTATGAAAGAGAAAAAATGTTATCGTTGATAAAGATCAATGGTCATGCCATCATATTTCTAAAGCAGTGCAAGAAATGTACACCACATCATACCTGAGGTACATGTTGACAGTGATAATTACTGGGTCAGCATCAACATAATCGTCAGGTTCATTGAGTCGTCCTCGAGGACGGACCCTCCAATCGTAGTCGTTCTGCGGATTTTCCAGTAAATGTTTGATGATCTTCTGTTCATCAAGCAATTTTTCGTACCTGAAATGAAGTGACTCATGGCAGCGTTACAGCAAATCTTGATAGTCGTATAAAGAAAGAAGCAGCCCCTATTGTTGATCCCACAAACACATAGCCCATTCGAACATTGCTCGATGGAGCAAATCGCCGAATCACAATGGAGATTACAAGCATCTAGCATATTCGCAATATTCTAAGGAAAGATCCTTAGTAATGGTCTGCTTGCTCTCACAAGACACTACTGTGCCCATACTGACTTGACCCTGTGAAACAAAGGGGTGCAGGAGTTCCTCAAGCTTGGAAGCACAAAAAACTGCACTCAAAATATACTGGCATTCAATCTGCTCCCTTCACATTTGAGTTTCTCGACCATTGTCTGTGCAAGAAATGCTAAATTATGATGAAACTGAGACTATTTGCCGAGACTTGCAAAAGATCGGAAATCGAGCTTCCAATTCTAACGCACAATCACTTTCCGCAAATTGTTCCTGTGTAATAGCCTCTACTATAAAGCAAAAGCAGACGACTGGTTTGACCTATTAATAAACATTTTTAGCTCCTTTATTTTGTTGAATTTCAAGAAAAACCCATATTTTACTTGCCATCTCGCTTGGATCTCTCACCGCGATTCACCCTCAGCATACGGTACCTTACCACGCTTGAGAACTGGAAAATACCGTATCCTCAGACATCAGTGGCTAACGAGCTTTAGAAAATGCCCCAAGAGACGTTCGCGAATGCGTCGAGTTGCCCAAGCGAGGCGACTCGCGAGCATCCGAGCAGCGCAGAAGGTGACACTCAGATTGGAATGCATAGCAAGTGTGGTCCGTAAAAAAAGCCTAGGATTAAGGAAAGACTTTGCGCAGTGTTTTAAACAGGAATCATTTTGAACTGCACGTAGCCTATGAGCATTAGCTGATGCAAAACATTCCTACATATACGCCGTGCCATAACTGACGCTGGCGATATCGGATGACGAACTTTTGACAGGGTTCCTTCAGCTAGAACGACTAACGTCTTTCCAGTTAAAGTAACCTTCAACCAATGATGCCATCCATGAATAACATCACTTGGTTTTTGTTGAATAGAAAATATGAACACGCACCCGGTTTCCTTGGCTATTGCTAGATTCACTATTGTTACCAGCAGCACACCCAGCATTCTATTTTGTCACATACGCACCTAAAACTGAAAAATCAAAAATAAGACAATTTCACGCAAAAAAATGATGGATGCTATGCTATTTAGGATGCTATCACTGGTAGACCATATACAGAAAAAAAGCGAAATGTCTTAGCGGATGCGAGAATAGAAAATTTTTTAGCTTTGCTTTTCATAGTTCTTTTGAAAAATACAATTAATAAAGCTGGGAGAACACTCGCTTAATTTTCTACTTTCACTATAAGAGAGTGAGAGAGTGATATTAGCATTTTCCCACCTTTCCGAAAAAAAGATGCAAATAAGGAAACTGATTTTTGATAAAACCCTGCCGTTAGCCTTCCTTTTTTGTCCAAAACTTCTAAAATGTCCTTTGCTATTTCGTTTTTTGTTTGCTGATAGCAAGTCGAATACATGGTGAGCTAAGAGATGAACAAATAATATAAGAAAGAAGAAGCGTAGGATTTATTAATAAAGAGACATTTTGTCATCAGTGAAAAATAACGGGTTCTTCACAATTCTCGACTCATATTTCTTTTGTCTATGATTTCGAAACGGTTTGAATAGACCAAAGAGCTGATGCGTGTAGGCTCGTTGCAGCAAGTCAAAGCTTTTAGAGCGGAAAGCGAGACAAAATGAAATGTGAGACTTGAGAGGAGAACCTACTAAATAGCAACGTTCAACAAGGTTATGAAATTGCAAACATACTCAAAATTCACTGTAAACATATATGATATTTCTCCCTTATGCAAGCTAATAGGCGCGTAGAAAAACTAGCTAGGTAAGTTCAAAGCTTATATGACGTCGTTATAACTCTGTTGAAACCAAGATACTTTCTAATGAGCTGTATCTCAATGCCATGCATGACGTGGACTCAAATAATAAAACCACAATTGTCGAGTTCAAACATTGTAAGCGTTTGGGTTTCAGTATCTCAACCCTGCGTGATTTAAGTTGGCGCTGTGCTACGCCGCAATTATAAGCCTTTCTCCCCGATTGTGGCAACAAAAGAATGATGAATAGTAGGGAACTTGATAAAGGCCATGCGTACTTATTCATGTTTGAGTATTCATCAAACTGAGTGAACCGCTCTCCGCAAAAAAGCAATGAAGAAAGAGCGCTACAGATTATCTTGAAGAGGTATTTGAAAAGAGTCCCAATGTTTGAATGAGCATTTTTCACACATATCACATTGTTGGATCTGCTTCAACGAACGTTTTATTTTCATTTTTCCTAAAAACACAAATCAATAGTGAAATGAATTTCTGAACTGACAGAAAATAACATGGCATGGAGGCATGTAAAGGTGAATGCAGCATGTTAGCATGTAATCGTAAATCAGGAAATGCACAAATGCAAAATCGCATCTCAAAAAAAAGGTCTATGATGCCATTTCTACGAAGAAAAAGGTTTTGGAAAAGTTTTCCAGAATATACATTGGAAAAAAATATTACTTCCTTCAGCAAGAACAAATCTAGAATTATCCCGTTTTTTATTCTTAGCTCTTCACCAACGAACTTGTGTTTTATGTTTGATTGTCTTATCATAGAAAGAATGCCTATTATTTCAGCGCTGTGACGGGTTATAAAAAGTGTGAATCCAGCCCGACAAGTTTATTATGAGGCGTTTCCTATTTTTCCACCAAGTGCGTACTTTAAATGGTGTATAATTTTATATAACATCATAGTTAAGGCGATATGGCGATATTAGGCTGAACCGAAAGTTCTGTCCCACCATTTCCAAAGAAATCGTAACTTCTTCCCATCACAATATTTTTGCATGACTAAAATTCTTTTGTAAAGCGCAATTCATGCGCTTTCGAGCACAGTGGGCTGCTATCTACTAAGCCTTGAATGTAGAGATAATATTGGGAAAAAATCCAAAACTGTGCCATAAAATCCAAAACAGCCAGTACCTTCTTTCTACCTGAGCAAAATTCGTGCTGATTGATTTGTTCTTTAAAAAGTTATAATTTTCGAGAAAAAGTGCCAAATATCAGTTTCTCAAGAAAACTGAGTTTATGACAATTTTCAAAAACCGTATCTTTCAAAAAACAGCTTAATGAGCGCGAATTTTGCTCCGTTAGAAAGAGAGGGTCAATTAATCTGGGATACAGCCTTTTTTGGATTTTATAACACAGTTTTATATTTTTTAACGGGCTTGCCTCAAAATCCTAAAATCAAAGTGATTTACTTTTCCCAATTTTATCTCTGCAACCAATGCTAAGTAGAGAGAATCAAGGCGCCCTCAGTAAGTGTACGCTTTGCTATTCTTAATAATATATTTGTCGTGGAAAATCGTAAGAGAACGAAGATACGATTTTTTTGAAAATGGTGCGAACGAACTTTCGGTTCAACCTACTAGTTTGTGGCGTTTAGTTATTGTGAATTAATGCCGCGACCTTATTGCAGAACCTGCTGTATGAGAATCCTTTTCCTGAACATAAAGATGTGAGCAAACAATATCTGTACCGCCATGGGAAAAACAAGGAGGAGAAAATTTTTTTTAGCATTCTTAGATAATTGCACTAGTACAAAGCTTCACATACAGTGTGTAAAACGCAAAGCTAAATCCAGTCAAGTCACAACCATCAAAATCAGCTTTTGAATAGTGCCAAAATTCTGGGCAGATCGCGACACAATTGTCAGATAATTGCGACGATGCTGTGCAAGAGGTATTTTCTTACAAAACTTCTACTGCTGCTTCACAAAGGTGAGCAATTGAATGAACTCTCACATCAAATCGGAGGACTCTACTGGTCATGGCCGCATCATTCAATATGACAGACTCAACGTCATACGCTTGTTTACAGCTTTTGAACCGAAATTGGATACTGCTAAAATGCTATGCTAAAAGCTTTAACGTGGGCCGTTATGGAAAAAGTAAAAGGAAATAAGAGCAAAGATCAAAACGCATAGCAGACGATAAGCTGCAAGGCATGGAAGAAATGAATGCCGCTTACCGAAAACTACACCAAATCATAGAGTCTCCTTGATCAATCTAAACAACATAACTTTCATGTCTAAAGTGGCAATAGCCATTTCGATTATTCACCACTGATATGCCATAACTTGTCCACTCAGCTAATAGTCTTTAAAATATATTTTATCAAAAGTACGTTATCTTAAACAAGGACCTCCTTCACAAGGACGCGTTCTATAGTTCGTGCTATCTCAGATTTTCGTGGTCAAGTCCCGCAAGAGTCTGCTCACAAAATGAAAATCGCGAAAATCATATAACATGCGATTTCATCGTCCCAGCTCCAAAGTCGGGACAAAACCGGGTTTCGAGCAAGACTGCCTTTTTTTCGCAGTTTTCATTTTGTGAGCGGACTCATGTGGGATTTAACCACACACGTCTGAAATAGCATTGATAACAAATGGAATCTCTCGCCTTCCGCAAGGTCTGCCTAGGGAGCAACGTAGGATAGGTGAAAGATAACTTGGAAGGAGGTACAGAAAAAGGCCACTGACATAAGTTGCAAGATAAAAGCTGGGAAAACATTGTGATGATATAGCCAAAACTCTTGTAGATAAAGGCGAATTCAATCAAACCTTTTCTTTACAATTATAAGTTTAAATTAATTGATTTAAAAGAACAAAACGGCTGAAAAGCATTTGTGAAATGCGGACGAGTGCACGATGAGAGGTTGTTGCATTATAAAAATTCACTAGTTCCACTGTCCGTAAACTAACGCAAGGGTAAGACACTGTGATGTGATGTGTATATGATGCATCAGAGCAAGATTTCCAATTCAAAATGTTTCCCGACAAAAATTGTAACGGAAGCGCATAGAGCATGAGCGTAAAAATCCACATATTTGTATATAGCATAAAACGATTTTGCTTAGAAGTTTCTTTTCTATAAGCAATCGAGAGCTGGCATATATTTTTAGTAAATCGTATCAAGAAAAACGAATGCAGACTTTGGCAAGCAGAGATAGGACATCACAAACATGTGTTAATCTACATCCTCAAGTTGATGCACAGCAGAAAAGGAACACTCATTCCTTTTGACAGGCTAAACGTAGAAGAACTTAGATAGACACCTCTTAAATGTGTAGCTGTACTTTTTGAAGAGCGACAGAGAACAGAAAAAATGTTATTCCTTCGAAAGAAGGCTTGTAGTTAAATAGATATTACAGATGTTAATTCTGAATCGAAGTGCGTTCTAAAAATACATTCACTCACTCAAATTATAATATACTCTCAAGAAGAACTCCTCCTTAGACCCTACGTTAATAGCTCATTTCAATTTCGAACATCTACCAATGCTCTGACTAAGTTCGCGCCATAGAAGACAGAACAAACAGTTTGATGATCGGGGAGCCACACAGGAAAATATGCCTAGAAAGCGGAACAAACAATCGAATTGTCATAGACTTTGCAAAAAGTACAATACACTCGTAGCAGCGTCCTAAGAAAAGATTAAAGGATAATTGCTCTCAAACAGCTTGTTCGAGCAACGCACTCTGTTCAAGCTGTAGTGATTAGTCTCCAATGCAAATTACCTCAATAAAAAATCAGCATTAGGCGTCGAATGAATGTGACAAATGAACATGTACGCTAATGATTATGGATGTTTCAAAGCACTAGTAGCATTACAAACATGATGTACAAATGAAGGATTTCTTAGCAATGCCCCGACTTTTCCTCCCGAGTTCTTTACCTTTCTGTACCATTCCCGCCATGCTGAACCCATATCTAGGCTTTTCAGCGCATGAAAATGGCGCAAATGAGCATCTTTGAAGTTCTTAATGTCTGCATTCGCTGCAAAATGCATGTAAGTGGGCGGGGTCCGGAACGAAGGGGCGGGGTCTAAAAAGCTTCCAGAGTGTATTTCAAGCTTTCCAGACGTGGTTTTCCCTCCAGACTTCACTAATAGATTAGTTTTGGGCGTCTGCCATTGCAGCGCTGTGGTATTTCGGTAACATTTTGCGGAGATGCTGCCTGCCTCTGAGAGAAGGTGTACTACATCAATGACATGAAATCACTTCCAATAACAGCTTCTCTCTCTTGCTTTGAAGCTCA